ATTATTCTACCAAGTGGCTGATAGGAAGGAAAATAAAAAAAGGCCTTTATCCTTAGAGGACGGTGTGTTTGTTTTTGTAACAGCCAGTTCTCCGTTAAACAAATAATTGTTAAAGTTAGGAAAACTAAAAGCTCAACGTCAAAATATATATATACCCTTTGCTTTTATATGGTGCCATACTTAAACATAAAAGGGTTGGTCACTGAAAAGTGTGAATCTAAAAATGTAACGGGGTCAGAGAAATTACTGGAACCGATATGCCAGGCCAAGCTCGGTCCATCCAAGGCAGGTGTATAAAAAATACATAGCTTTCTTTGTCCCTGGTGTTTGTTTAGAAATCTCACGAAGATACACTGGTGGGTGTGTTTGTAGAGAGAAAGGCCTTATAACATTTCTTGTGCTGGAAGGATCTTTGAGGGGTTTCCCTCGCGGCAAACAAGGTCACAGTGCCTTAGAAGTCCTCTAATATCTTGGATAAACCCCACCCCTTGAGGGTGGGCTGGGCCAGTGTGTATGATGGGATAGCACTTGTGATCAGATTATGTTCTATGGCAAAGGTGAGATGATCTTGCAGATGTAATTAAAGTCTGTATTGAATTGACTGTGAACAAATACTATGGGTGAGTGACAGTTAATCAGGTGAACCCTTTAAAGAAGGCTTAGGCTTTCCCTAAGCAGCTAGGGGCCATGGCGTTCCATCCCAATCATCATCTTTCTTTCCAGCCACTTGCGTTATGGACTCTAGGCTTACTTGGCCAGCCCTCACAATCTCATGAAGCAAATCCACATAATAAAAATCCCTTAATATACACATGTCTCATGCTGGCTCCGCTTCTCTGGTTGAACTTTGACTGCTACACCTTATCTTAACCACAAAAGGTTTCAGTGAGCTCATTCTCGTGCAGATTGCCACTAGAAAGAATCAGCATAAAAACTATTACTGAATTTCTCTATTTTCTGTAAAATTATAGTTGGCATTATTTTCTATTATGCTATCAAACATTATTGAAAAAAGGTAACTGAAAAAGTTTATTTTGAATTTAATCCTGATTAGATACAAAATCCATCTCCATAACTTTGCATAACTATTTTGATAAGAAAAAAAATTCTCCACTTTGTTTTTATATTTTAGATATTTAATCAATCCCTAAACAACCATAAGAGTGAGACTATTCCAAGTGAGCAACATATATTTTCTACCTGCTATTATTATTATTATTATTATTATTATTATTATTATAAATTTTCTTATTAAAGAGGGTTTTAGTTTTAGTATTTGCATCCAAAATCTGGAGCTGTCACACAACTCACCCAAGCCACTGTTTCCCATCTGCATAATGAAGATTAAAAATAATGGGGTTCCTGGGTGGCTCAGTTGATTGAGCATCAGGTTCTTGATTTCAGCTCAGGTCGTGATCTCAGGGTCGTGGGATCAACTCCCCCAAGAGAGATGCTCTCTATCTTTCCCCCTGCCCCTCTCCCTCTACCCCCTCTCCCCTGCTCTTGCTCTCTTTCTAAATAAGCCATTAATTAAAACATTAAAAAGAAAAATTAAAATGAAAAGAGTATCTAAGCTTCATAGGCTTGATCTAGGATTAAACAAGATAATTCACTTAAGGTGCTTAGTACACTACTTGGCATATAATTAGTTATTAGCTGTTGTTTTCATTGCATAAGTGTGCATGTTTTAAAACATCTTAAAAATTCTTTGAACTAAGAATAAAAAATTCCAAGTAAAAATGACATAATAAAAACTACATCCCGAAAATGTTTTGTTCTATTTCTGCCATTTGATCCATAATCATTAATCTCAATGGCAGCCTTATTTGAGGTTAGTATTCCATCATATATACACCTTTAAGTGTCTTTATTTCAAAGACCAGGGGCCATGTTCAAATGTAGAAATGAACACAGGAATGAGAGAATCAATTTACACTATTTTCTCTAAAATCTTGACAATATAAAAAATACTTTATTTTAAAAATAATTTCATCTATAAAGACTTTTTATTCTGTTTTAGTTGGTTGTAAATTCAATGCTTCTTTATCATGTAAATGCATAACAATTTTCATCATAGATTTTAATTACTTTTTCATTTTTATAATGTTTATTTATTTTTGAAGGAGTGAGAAGACAGAGTGTGAGCAGGGGAGGGGCAGGGAGAGAGACAGCCACAGAATCCAAAGCAGAATCTAGGCTCTGAGCTGTCAGCACAGAGCCCAACACGGGGCTCGAACTCATGAACCGTGAGATCATGACCTGAGCCGAAGTCAGATGCCTAAACAAGTGAGCCACTCAGGCACCCCAAGGATTTCTTTAAGTAAAAAAATAAATAAATAAATAAATATTTTTTTTAAGTTACATTATGATTTGCTTTTTATTTTAACTCAACAATATTATGATGGATATTTTTCCAGATCTGTATATTCTAATAGCTAATACCACTTACCTATCAACTATATTTGTTGAATATCTGAGTCTTTTCCAAGCTTTTGCCATAACAAAGAATGATGAAACTTACCTGCACAGGTTTTATTTTATTTCAGTAAAACAATCCCCCCACTAAAAACAATTAAATTACAGACTTCATGTATCCTACCAGTGGTTTTTCTCTTTATTTCTTCTTGTATCTCCTATAGGTTTTGCTTACTGAATATTAATACTATGTCATTTTATTTGGTATAAAGATTTGGTAACTGTTTACATCCTCAGTGAATTCTGCTCTTTGATACTAGGAAGTATCCTTCTTTTTTTCACTCAATGCTTTCAATGCCTGAATTTCTCCTCATCTGATACTAAATCAGACATCCTGCTTTGTTCTGGTTTGTATTTTCTTGGTATTCAATTAACCATCTTGTAATTTACAAACTTTCCAGATAAGATTGTTCTAGAAGTGTCTCATTATGTCAGCATTATTTATACTTCATGATCCAATATGAAATTGTTTTAAATTGTAATTTTAGCCCATTTTTATGTAATAATAAGGCAAATACACTGAGTCTCCACCTGTCAACATTTTAGATTTTCTATTTTTACATTTATTTGTTTTCTAATTGTTTGCTACATGGCCTATGGTCTTTGTTGACTGTGGGTTTCTATGGCTGTGCACAGCCTATTCTTTCTGCCTTGTCCTCTTTCTTCTTTTAATTTTTTTAAATGTCTATTCATTTTCCAGAGAGAGAGAGTGTGTGTGCGATGCTGGGGAGAGGCAGAGAAAGACAAGGGGACAGAGGATCCAGAGCAGGCTCTCTGCTGTTAGCAGAGAGCCTAATGTGGGGCTCCAACTCATGAACCGTGAAATCATGACTTGATCTGAAGCTGGATGCCTAACCAACTGAGCCATCCAAGCGCCCCTGCCTTGTCCTCTTTCTACTGGACTGGTCTGTGCACAATAAGAATGGTAGTATTTTCCTCTTTTTTTTTTTTTTTTTCACCAAATTCCCTCTTTTCCACCACCTTGTTTTAGTAAATTTCATTATACTTTAGTGTTTGCCTTTTCTCTGTTAAATATCTTATACTTCCATTACCTGATTTTTCAATTAAAAAAATATTCTTTGCCCTTATGTGTTATGAGAGGCAATCAGCACGCCTCTTTTTCACTTTTTCTCTTTTGCCTCTAATTTTTGTTCGATTTTTGCTTTGCAAATGCTACAGTGTGGAACACTTTTCCAGTGTCTTTCACTGCGATATGACTGTTCAGGTTCTTCTACTTCTCTGGGATTTTATTTTGCTAAATTAGATTTTGCTAGCATGTCATGTGCTCCCTTTAGTTTTTCTCATTTTCTACAATAAAGCTGTATGTCACTGTAATAGGTACCATCTTTTTTTTACTTAAAAAGAGCTTCTACCATCAGATAACTGATCCCTCTTTAGTGAGCTGATTTTCTGTCTTTTTCTGACTGTGGTGTGATCGGTGGATAAACCAGCACCCTTCCCCTCTTCTGCTGAGTTAGGCTTGAGGAAGAAGCCCTCAACACCAAGCTCATTCACAATGAGATCAACTGTGCTTCCCAACTACAGAGACAAGGAGCAACTGTCCACCAGAGGTCCACAAGATACAGTTTTCAGAGCCCTTTGTGGGGCCCATACAACAAATACACAGACGCGGGTCCTGTCTGAGACTGTCCATTCAGGTTTAGCAGTTTTGTCTATTTTTCACCACACGGAATAGCTATCTACACTGCTGTCTCTCCCAGCTACAACAGGGGCATCAGGTTCTACATCTCTGCAACAAAACTAACCAGTAATCAGCCCCATTCCTACCATTATGCTCAAGTTTCATCCTTCATACACTAAGGACAGAAATATATGATAAAAATGAATACAATAGGTGCTCGGCATTGGTCAATGGAACATGTGATTTTTCACCCATTCCTGAGACTCCTCACTGTTCAGGACATTTGCTCTTTTGCTGAACCATGACTGGGAATCCACTGCATTGTGGGGCTGATCAGTTGGGGACCAGCCATGAGGTATTGAGGGGCCCAGTTGTGCTGGAGCACCAGCATTCCACCTTGACTTTGATGCACATGTATTTTTTTTCTATTTTACTCATCACCTGGTTCAAAGGAATTCTCATTAGAGATCTAAAGAGTTTTCTAGGACATCTTGTTCCTACAAATGATTCAAAAGACATAAGAAGAAAGATCCGCATGGAAGAGCAGATGTGTAAATAAATGTGTCTTTGAGGAAAAAGTTTTGATGTGTTTCACCATCATATTGTTATATGAAAACAGCACGAGGTTTGTGCTAACTGTGCCTAAGTCTAAGAAAACAAACAAGCCCAATGAATGCGTTTTATGTAAACAACCAAAGAACTATAAACCAGGTGAGACATGTGAGCAGAGTTTTACTGAAAGGAATGGACAGAAGACGAACTGGAAATTTAGAAAGACATGTAAAATGTTCTTACATCATTTCTTTTTTTGCATTTCTAACACTGAAAGAAATGTGATGGGAATATACTGACACATAACCCGAAATTATATTTTCTGTCTTACCTTGGAAGACCGGAAGGTAAATGCTGTTGACTTTACATCAGCCTTTTCTTTGTCCATGAGTAGAAGGTTTTTGTCTTCCATGAGACTCAAGTACTTTCCTGTTGTGACATGGCGTAGTCGGAAGGGCTGGCCCCATCTTATGTGGCTTCCACTCCACCTGACAAACACAGTTAAGACTTGATCCAACAGCATCCACAATCACAGGAGAAAAAGCAATTAAAATGTATGTGTCGGACATTGAAATTTGCTTTGAATATATTGCCTAATGTTCTCAAAACTCTTAGGATGTTGGTGGTATTAATTTCATTACACAAATAACAAAATGGTTATCCAGAATGATTAACTAACAGTCAATGTTACATACCTAAAAGTAAATAGGAGTGAAATTTAACTCTAGGACTTCACCTTTAAGTAAACAGAACACCAACCACACTACCTACTACTCTATGCAAAGATGACTAATGGAACACATTAGATGTTCCAAGTTAACATCTAATCGTGAGTCACAGATACAGAAATTATGATAGAAATTTTAAGTTTAAGTAATACTTTAGATTCACTAGCTCAAAAACTTTTGTTGGAAAAATAAAACTTTTGTTGGATTCGCACAGACTTGAAAAACAGTGGTAATTTAGTCAACGCTTAAGTCTGATTAATTGGAGCTCATATATACAAAGTACATACTTGAAAAAAGAAACCTATTCCTAGGCATTGAATTTTAATAATGTGAAACAGTTATATCATTAAAAACTCATCAGCAAAAAGGACAAACCGAGAAAAGAATTCTAAAAAGGTCAAGAGAGAAAAAAGTAAAACACAATAATCGGAACATGCAAACTAAGGTTGCAGAAAAAAGGTAAAAAGCAAAGTTATGATCATTAAAACCTGCTTTTCGAAATAACTTTCAGACAGGGTCGAAAAGAAAACTCAAGATGCAGACCACCCTTGTTTTGCACAGTGCTGTGTCAGCTGAGTCATGTGTATCTGAACCTCGGACTCACAAAAGTAAGGTAGGGAAACAAGGCTCTGATATGCAAGACGTTCAGTTAATATGGTGATGTGCGAAGAAAGACAGTGTCTTATCATTGACAAGAAGTATGCTGACAATCAAATAATGTTTTAAAGAACTAAAAGTAAATGAATGACAGCAATTACCATGCATATAAATTCAAAAGGAGATAGTGATGGTAAAGTTGCTATTAAACAAATTAGAACTTAAGGCAAAAAACATAAAGGGGATACCGTCATGTACTTTATAAAGAGAAAAAATGTAACTCTAAAAAGAATGTTTGTGGTGCTCCTGGGTGGCTCAGTTGGTTGAGCGTCCGACTTCGGCTCGGATCATGATCTTGCGGTTCATGAGTTTGAGCCCCATGTTGGGTTCCGTGCTGACAGCTCAGAGCCCAGAACCTGCTTCGGATTCTGTTTCTCCCTCTCTCTCTGCCCCTACCCTGCTAGTACTCTCTCTCTCTTTCAAAAATAAAATAAAAACATTAAAATACATACATATATACATAAAACGTATGTCATGAAGTTTCCCATGTCAATGGAAAAAAGAAAACAAAACAAAAGAAACAGAGATAATGATTTATAAAGACAATTACACTGGAAGCTTTTTATCACTATGTATTAAATCGAAAAGATAAAAATTATAGAAATGAAGGATTTCTATATGATTGAATTAATCAATAAACTTACTTTAATATAGGGTCATTACAAAGGTCACCAAAAATTATAAGGTTTTTTTCCTATTCTACAAATTGAGAATACTTTTCTCAAATTTGCCAATCTTAGTAAACTCTAAGTCAAATTTATGCTGTTTTTCTAACCTAGATTTTTGGCTTCAAATATTGGCAGGGAAAACTAACAGTAGAAAGATATTGTGATAAGGTCATTATTACACGGATTTGTTTATAAAGAGAATTTGGACAATCCACCAACTAAATTAATAACCATGTACCAATAAATCCTACTAATAACACAGTATTGTTAAGAATGAAATTAGGGGCGCCTGGGTGGCTCAGTCGGTTAAGTGTCCGACTTCCGCTCAGGTCACCATCTCACAGCTGTGAGTTTAAGCCCTGCATTGGGCTCTGTGCTGAGAGCTCGGACCCTGGAGCCTGCTTCAGATTCTGTGTCTCCCTCTCTCTCTCTCTGCCCCTCCCCCTCTCATGTTCTGACTCTCAAAAATAAACATTTTTTTAAATGCAATTAAAGTTCGGTTACCAACAACAGAATATTAAATCATTTCTAGTCTGGTAAATAAACCAGCTCTGTTCATTCCCTTCTTATAAAATTAAGTATATCCTTGGCAGATGCTTTGGAAAACACAATTATTTTTAATATTCATTTCCATTATTTGAAGAAGCATCTGAATGCTTTTCTAAGCAATGACTCATCTTAATTACCATAAAAAATTCATTTTCAAAATAGTCCCAAATTTTGACAAAGTAATACTTTGCAACAGAACTTCTAGAAGGTATTCTGGATACTATGTGCGAATCTACTGACTAGGGCACATATTTACAAGCACTCCTTTCAAGTCACCAAGAGGATTATGTCAGGGATGGAATGAACTGGGACAATCACTGGCAAAACTCTGTAAAGTCTAAGCACATTTTCTTTAGCTTAAAGCCACTCAAATTAGCTGGCCTGCAATGCCCATGGCCCAGAAGAAAAGAGGAAAAGCCTAGGAGAATCAAGGGGGCAAGACAATATTTAGTAAAAACTGAAAATAGGAATAGTAACATTAAAGCAATTTCCTATGGTAACATAGCAGAAACCTGTTCCCTGTGTCTTATCTACATTTACCTGAAATGACTTCAAAGGAATGGGGAGTATTTGGTCATTCCTCACGACACATCCATCTTTGATTTTTGTGGGGGTTTTGTGACACACAAGAAAGCTAAATGTGAAGGACACATCAGGCATATTTTTCATTGCAGTGATCATTCCCACTACAGAAACCAGCACATATCGTACTTACAATGTTCCCACAACTTCACGCTGGGGTAAAATACAGCAAAGTGTGTTCCATCTTATTTAACTCCCAAAACTGAAACTTACCTTATTAAAATGTTCATGATACTGAAAAACTTATGACAACATTACTGAGTATGTGATACAAAATATCTAAGTACTAGGCTGTATAAATTACAACAAATACATAGTTGGAGACCTTCTTCTAGGAAAAAAAAGAACACCCCAAATACTGTAACATAAATATTGACTTCTGGGTGCAAAATTCCATTATACGCATAAGGAGAATCACTGACTCTCATTTCCTAAGTATAAAGAAAAAATGAGTATTTGCATGGCCAAGGTACGCAATAAGACACGGAAACTAAATGCAGTCACATTAACAGTGAAGTCAAAGTAGATCAAAAATTCAACAGAACCTGAAGAAACACTTTAACATAATTACATTCATTACAAGTGAACCTGCTTTCCTACCGTCGACAAGATGACATGGTATAAATCGAGGGTCACACGGTCCAAAAAAAACATCTCTCTTCCATCTTTTAAGTGGTTGAAAAGCTACTTGCTCTGCCTTCTGGCGTCAGCCTCCCCTTGCTGCCATTTGGACTCTCAAACAATCCGCAGAGCCGCATACCTGGGGCTCGGAAGCGCCCCCTTTCACCTCTGGCTGACCACAAGACCAGGCTCTTTCTATATTATCAGTCATCCGAATTCAAAGTTAAAACAAAGCCCACGCTTCCCATTTCAAACTTCAAAGATTCGGCAAGAGTAGAGACACAGAATCCAGACCAGATGTCCAGAACGATCTGGATTTATGTAATTACAGTTCATCAATTACAAGGTTGACAATGTAAAAAGGAAGCCCTGTCTGGTTTTCAGGAATTCACATCCTTCCTTTTGTTTTCTGTTTTGTTTAATCTGTAAAATGAGACAGATTTAGGGCCTCGTTTGCTCAAAAAAAAAAAAAAAAAAATTTCCATTTCTTTAAGCACACAATCACGAAGGGTACGGATATCTATGAATTTGAAAACCCATCTGGAATCTGTTTTCCAATGGCAATGCCACCACTCTAAGCTTCATTTCTATCGACTATTTCACTTCTCTAATTAAGCTGCATTTTTATAAAACACAAAGGAAAGGAAATACATACACATATTTAAAATCTCTTTCCCTAAATTCTCTGAAAAATCTATAAAGCACATGAAAGCTCAGTCTCTCTCCCTTTGTTTTATGAGGATGACACTCCTTTTTCCATCTCATTAAGAGATGCATTTCGAATAAAATTTTACATTGAATTTCAATATTTACCAAAAGCTTTAATATTTAGGTGGATTTCATCAAGTAGGTATTTATTTAGAAGAAACATATCCTCAGTTAATTAATAATTAATGAGGTTAATATAGAAGAACTTTTTGAAGTTATAGACTTACTATCATAAGAAATGTAAAAAATAAGGGACACCTGGGTGGCTCAGTGGGTTAAGCATCAGACTCTTGGTTTCGGCTCAGGTCATGATCTCATGGTTCATGGGTTCGAGCCCCACATCAGGAGCCTGCTTGGGATTCTCTCTCTCTCTCTCTCTCTCTCTCTCTCTCTGCTCTCCCCTGCTTGCATACTCTCTCTCTCTCAAAATAAATAAACATTTAAAGAAAAGAAATATTAAAAATCAATTTAATTTACATACATATTTTTATTGCATAGGTGTATGATAGCATGAGTTAAAAAAAAGTGTTTCAATCATAAAAAAATATATAACTGGGATAAAAAAATGGTCATGACAGAGTAATAAAAATAATGATTTAATAATTTTTTAAATAATTTTTACTGTTAATAAAGACTATGTTCAAGTGTTTTCAATAAACAAAGATGGGTATTAAATCACATCAGTATTTGTAATTGATAAGATACTTTAAAAAAAGTATGCCCGTTTTGTTTTAAGACGTCCCTACTTATAACACACTATAAGTTATATTCTACACATCTATTTAAACTGACAGTAGAAACTGTCTATGTCAAAACTTACAATGTTCAAGGATACATTTTCAATTTTTTTCAAAATTAATGTATAGGATATATAAGAAAAACAACTAAAGATCACCAAACTATCTTTTGTTATTATTATTAAAGTTTATTTATTAAGTTTAAGAGAGAGTGAGAACATACATAAAGGGGCAGAGAGAGAGGAAAACAGAGAGAATCCCAAGCAGTCTCTGTACTGCCAGCAGGAAGCCTGATGCAGGGCTCGAACTCATGAGCCATGAGATCATGACCTGAGCTGAAACCAAGAGTCAGAGGCATAACCACCTGAGCCACCCAGGCACTTCAAGACTACTAAACTATCTTAATCATCATTAGATAAGCATTAATCTCAAAATATTAGGTCTTCAAAGGTAGTTACTCTATACCAAGACAGTTCCCTATACCCCTCCATGGAAGCTATAATCTTAAATCAATAATTTCCAAAAGTATAATAAAATAGGGAAAAAATACATGAAAACTTAGCACTTTTTAGGCAAAGGACTGAACCTTCCAATCATTAAAAAAAAAAGATCTAATATTCTATTTAAAATAGTTCAAAATGACACCTTTATCATCAATATTGAATTTATATAAAGGAACTAAAAGTCAATCTCTGAACAACTTTTTGAAGTCACCAGAAAGGGAAAAAAAGAAGATATACCTATATATATATATACCTGCAGGTATAGAATATATACCTATATATACACAGGTATATATATATATATATATATATATATATATATATATATATATATATATATATATATATGAATATATACCTATATTCATATATAGGTACCTATATATATATAGGTATATATTCATACCTATATATGTATACACCTGTATATATATAGGTATATATTCTATACCTACAGGTGTATATATATATATGTATATATATATATATATAGGTATATATTCATACCTATATATATATATGTATGTATATTTGTTTCTATAACAAACACATACACAGTGACTTTGTATTACACTCCAAATTTCTCACTCAGCTATCAAGATGTCTGTAAATAAAGGCAGTGACTGACAGTAAGACCCCTGTGCTCTCGTTCAAGTTCAAGTTTCCTGTTTTACATGTGCCTTTAGAAGGTTAAATCCAGAGTCCATCAGACCTGAAATGTGTAACAGGCTCGCAAACCATCTGTCCTGTTTCCAAACCTTATGTCATCCTCTCCTAGGAGCACCTTCTGCCAGGAGATTCACAGACCGAGATGACATGATGTCACCAAAACAAATAAGGCTAAAGACAAGAGCAGACTATATAGAATTATTGTGTACTGCCTGGTGAATTTAGGCCAAAGAAAGCCAAAGAAAGGTAGGCAGAAGGGAAAGAGTAGAAACCCTCCACCACTTCCTCAATGTTTCATTTGCTTGTTTACTGTAGTTACCATGAGTATTTCCCATAAAAGCACAGGTCCACAGGATTTTGTACACTTGGAGCACTCGACTGTATTTACGGCTTCTACTTACGCAACTCTTAGTGTCTCTAGTCTCCACAGGGAACGTGCATGGACAGATACAGCACCGCCTTCATAGTGAACAGTTCTGGTTAAAAAAAGAAAAAAAAAAGCACAGTTTCAACAAGTGTCATTCTTGGACTCTATTTTCTCAAGGCAATTACAAGAAAAAAAGCCAAGGGAAAGCCTTTGGATAAGGTCATACTTTCTGGCACGAGACAATATAGCTGGAAATAAAAATAACAAAAGTAACAGTAAGTGATCAATTTAAGTTTGCCTGAATAAACATTTAACTTAAACATATTCTCACATCATTTTCTCCCTCTACTCCCATTTATTCCCCTTCCCTCTCCCCAACCCACCTCTCCTCCTCTCTCACTCTCTCTCTCCCTCTCCTCCAGTGAATACATTCACCTTACTTATTTAACTTAGGTCCATAAAAGTATTCAGCTATGAGTTTACGTGTAGTTTAATATCTTATTATTTCAACACATGCATATAATTATTTGCAGTTCTATATTCTGTTCTAGATACATCAAGCACTGTAAAGAAATATAAGAACACATTAATTTTAATGTTTTATTATAATCTGCAAACTTACTAAAGATAGAAAAGTATCACCGAAAATATAAACATCAACCAAAAAAGTCTCACAAACAAGGAGAGAATTATCTTTGAATGCACATCACACACACCCAAATTCCAAAGCTCTCATAACGATAATTATGACAGAAGTAATGCTAGGTAATTTACGTATGTTATCCAACTTGAGCTCTGTGCCAACCTGTTGAGATGGTTTTACGGAAACCAATGCTTATACGTGCTCCTTGTTTCTTCCCTGAGACTCACCCTCTCTGTCTACTGAATCTTTGCAATCATTCAAACACACATAACCCTGTCCGGTCTCAAACATAATAAGACCATTGACCATATTCTCCTCTCCTGCTTGCCCCCATATCTGCCTCATGGATCACCTCCTGTCAGATCTCTGTGCCTCCACTTGCTTCCTGATCTACCTCTCCATTGAAACACATTTGCTAAGGCCATCATATGACATCCGTGGTCCAAAATCCAATGGAATATTGATGGTTTTTTACACTGGAGAAATACCTACTATCTTGACAGTTTTTCTAACACCATTCTCACCTACTTTTCTTCTCACTTACTGAGATATTCCTTCTCATTGTTTTTATTGTGGAAATTTTCAAATAGACACAAAAGTAGAGAGAGTATTATGATAAATCTCAATATACCCAGCACACAGTGTAAACAACAATCAACACAGGGCCAGTCTTGTTTCACCTATAACCTCTAGTAACCCATTCACATACAACTCCCCCCCAAAAATACATACATACATATGTAGATATAGATATGTAGATATACAGACACACACACACACACACACACACACACACACACACCTATGTAAAATCTGCTTTTATGAAATATCCATTTTGTTCATATTTTCCATTTTCTCAAAAATGATTTGTTTTTCTGTTGCTCTTTCAAATCAAGATACAAACAAGATGCACAAATTGGTTAAATACCTTAAATTTCTATTACTCACAGTTTTCCCTTCTTTTTTCCTTGTTGGCATTATCTCTTGACAAAAATCTGTACCATTTGTCTTGCAGTTTCTACATTCTGGATTTTTCTGATGACATGCTCATAGTGTTGACATGTACTTCTAAAATGGTAGTTGGATTTCTAGGTCTAGTGTTTTATACTTCCTAATACATCACATCAGGTGGTAATAATGACTACTTGGTCTACTTTTTTAATATTAAAATTGATCAGTAGGTTTAGAATCACCTTGATCCATCTATCATAAGAATTTTAGGTATACCTACAAACAGTGCCATAGCAGTGATTTTCAATCATGGCTGCAGATACAATTATGTGGATAGCTTTTTAAAACGTGATGCTATGCCCTCACCAATGACCAATTAAACCAAATCTGGAGTCTGGATTTTTTTTTAAGTTTATTTTTATTTTGACAGAGAGAGAAAGAGAGAGAGCGAGAGCAGCAGCCAGGGAGGGGGAGAGAGAAGGAGAGACAGGAATCCCAAGCAGGCTCCACACTGTAAGTGCAGAGCCTGATATGGGGCTCAAACTCACAGACTGTGAGATTGTGACCTGAATCAAGATCAAGAGCCAGAAGATTAACTGACTGAGTCACCCACGTGCCCCTGGAGTCAGGATTTTTAAAAGTTCTCCAACTGGTAGTAATCAGAAGCTAAAGTGTGGAAATCATGGTCCAGATCAGTTTCTACACAGCAGCACTATTGACATTTTGGGCCAGCTAATTCTTTGCTGTGGGTGGCTGTCCAGTGCACTTAGGATGTTCACTGATTCCTGGACCCTACCAACCAAATGCCAATAGTACTTGTCTCTTCTACTCCCCCTCCCCAGTTATAACAATCAAAAATGTTCCCAAGATATTACCAAAATGTCTTCTGGGGGACAAAACCATCCCCACTGTCAAGCTACTGGTTTAGATTAGTGGCTCTCAATCTGTAGTATTAGAATTATATTGCAGGCTTTTTAAAATACAGATTGCTGGACCCAATCTGTTGCTACCCCCAAGTTCCCAATTTAGTAGATCTATGGTAAGGAGAAGAATTTGTATTTCTAATAAGTTCCCAGGTGACATTGATGTAACTGGTCCACATTCTGAGAATCACTGGGCTAGAATCATTATTTTATTAGGGCAGTGATTCTTGGCCTCGGTTGTATACTAGAATAATCTGAAAAGCTTTACAAACTCCAACGCATAGACAATTCTCAAATTAAATCAGCATCTCTGGATATATACTTAAAAATAACAAATAATAAAATATAGATGTAATGTGTATATATATGTATATAGATACACAGATTTTTAACTCAATCACGACCTTTAATAAAGATCTTGTACTTGGCCATAAAAAAAACCTTTATCAGATTTTTTTAAAAGTAAAGCCATGTACTCATCCTATTTTCTAATTATAACCAACGAAAATTGGAAATAAATACTAAAAAGATTTTTAAAATCTAACAACTTGGAAAACTCAGTAACTCTTATAAATAATTCATGGGTCAGAGAGGAAATAGAAATTAGACCTTATCTAGGATGTAATGAGGACAAGAGTACTTCAGAACAAATCTATGATTCACAGGTAAACTTCGAAAAATTTAGGCCTGAAATCCCTTGATTATTAAAGAAGTAATGACCAAAAAAAAAAAAAAAAAAAAAAAAAAAAAAAAAAAAAAAAAAAAAAAAAACCTTAAGAGTTGTCTGAAGAAATTAAATAGTGAACAAAATAAACCAACAGAAAATAAAGAAGGGATTCTATGATGTATTATTAAGATAAGTAAAATGCAAGAATGCAAATGATATAAATTTTCTGTACAACAATAAATCATAATAAATCTATTGCATGTATGTATGTATATACGTATCTATGCAGAGGTATTATCTATATGAACATGGAGAAAGTTCTTGAATAATGAACACCAAAACAGTAATGTTAATCACATAATAAAAGTTATGTAGGAACTAAGCTTGAAACTAAAATGTACTCTAAGATAAAAACAGTATTAAGTAATGTTTACGTACAATTGTATATATTATATATAACAAGGTATAGGAAGAATTATCCTTCAAATGTTTTACTCTCATCACTTTTCCTTTATTAACTGAATTTAACAATGACCTTTTATTATTTGTATAAGTAGAAATCTAATGATATTTTAATTTGGGCGGAAATTAACACTTAAAACACAAATATAAAGTCAAAAGGAAAGTTGGAACCTCCTTTCTGGATATTTGTCTCCTGAAGGGACTTCTTGCCTTTCATTATTTCTCTCTATTTTTTTTAAATGATTCATCAGCAAGTGTAGAAAATCCAATGACCTGCAATTCTTCAATGACAACCTGGGAAATCTTCGCTTTTATACAGAGTCTGCCATATAAATACATGCCATGTGCTGAATGTCACTGGTTGTCATATCAAGTAGGCATTGGTTATTTCAGACTGAAAAGTAACCTTACAATATCAAAATCCTAAAGGTAGTAAGGATCTCAGTCCATCATAAATGACACTAAGGACATGTAAACTTATTTAAAAACTGGTCCACTTGGAGAAATCCACCTGTTCTATGAAGCGATCATCCCTTTTCCCTGCAATATGTCTCAAGTATCAAGTTTAAAGATCCACAAGTTTACCAAATGGTATTAGAGACCATATTTAAACTCATACAACTAAATGATCATCTTCATAGCAAGTGTTTCTGTCAACAGGAAGACTAAGAAAAGAGAAAGATTCTCTAAGAAAGCAAACAGACCTATAGCAACAGCACCTATGGGCTCAGTCAGCATCACATGAGATTTCAATGCAAACAGCGTCAATGACACGAAAATGCAAGGGAAGGTCATGCGGATATGAAACAATAAAGTGCTTGTGCAACTCTCTGCTCACTGAAAGACTATCTTTTCAATGAACCAAAACAGTGTTACAGCTGATAAGAAAAACATGTGTTAAGATAACTGGCCATTGGTATCCCTTGTAACAGAATTTTTTTTTTCAAAGAATCTTCCACCTCATGAATCAGTAAAACTCCAAGTCACTCAAGGTGCCTGGGTGGCTCAGTCGTTTAAGCGTCCAACTTCGGCTCAGGTCATGATCTTGTGGTTCACAGGTTCCAGCCCTGCATCAGGCTCTGTGCTGATAGCTCAGAGCCTGGAGCTCACTTTGTGGATTCTGTCT